TGGAATTAAAAAAAAAAATACACAAATTTTCAAAAAATTCTATCATAGGATTACAAAAAATTCGATCATGGATTACATAAAATTCGATCATGGATTACAAAAAATTCGATCATGGATTACATAAAATTTGATCATGGATTACAAAAAAAAAAACATAAAAAACAAAAAATTCTATTGTGGATTACAAAAAAAGAAAAAACAATTCGATCATGGATTACAAAAAATTCAATCATGGATTACAAAAAACTCTATCATGGGTTACAAAAAAATCAATCATAGATTACAAAAAAAAAACAAACATTTCGATCATGGATTATAAAAAAAAAAAACATTTCGATCATGGATTACAAAACATTCGATCATGGATTATAAAAAATTCTATCATGGGTTACAAAAAAAAAACAAAAAAACAAAAAATTCGATAATGGATTACAAGAAAAAAAACAAACATTTCGATCATGGATTACAAAAAATTCGATCATGGATTACAAAAAATTCTATCATGGGTTACAAAAAATTCGATCATGGATAAAAAAAAAAAAAAACAAATTCGATCATGGATTACAAAAAAATCGATCAAGTATTACAAAAAAATCTATCATGGATTACAAAAAAAAAAAAAAAAAAAAAATAATTTATATTCTTCCTTACGGGACTCGCCGATTCCGTGCAGTGAATCGGCAAGTCACTGTGCAGAATCGTCCGGTTCTCTCTAGAACCGGACGATTCCCGAGTGGAACCGGGCGAGTCCGGTTCAACTCGGCGTTTTTTTAAACACTGGTACCAACAAACATTATTACGATAAAGTCTTTGATTCCATTCTCACCAAAGGTAGGGCCCAAATCTGAATTATCCTTTTTTGTTTTTGTTTTAAAGACCCTTAAATCGGTTAAATTAATTAAAAGATCCATCCAAAGGAGTGCGTAATACCACCCATTCTTCAGGTGGCAGAAACTAAAAAGACAAGAAGAAGAAGCGAAGAACATAAAAGAGGGCGTAGTCGCCTCTGTAAAATATTGCAATAGGGTTAAAATGGGAAATTTACACCCCATATCACACCCGCAGGTTCACATGGATGGAATGTATGATCTACGAATTTAAAAGTTGTTAATGCCTTCATCCGGGAACCTCGCTTTTCACTTTATTTTAAGAAACAATAATTCCTTCTTATTTGTTAAGAAACAACAATTTTTGGGGGGTACATGGCGTGATGCTTCCTAAATTTCCTCCTCTGTTATGGTCTGAGCTGAACTCTGAAGGACACAATTGTCAATAGAAGTTTCTAGACTGGCCCCTATTTGGAAGGGCAACTATAAATGATTGACAATCCCCGCTTCAAGGGTCATTGTATCATCTGAGTCAATGTTTGTGAACCTCGGACTTCGAACGTTGTTGGATGTTTGTTGATATTTATAATGACATAAAAATATTTTGTGTTCTAATCACCGTCGTTTTAGCAACTTAACCCAGCATTGTTTGAACATTGAGTCCAGCAGTAAGGACACCAAATCAAAACCAATTTACGTAGTGCATGGCATTAGCACTATGAGATTTCCTCTCGCTCTAGCGACACCATAGGAACTGATCTAGCTTGGACATTACCGGTCTTGTGGCACTATAGTTGGACATGAAATTGGATCCAAGTAGTAGGATTTTGATGAGTTCATCGCTGGTAATGAACGCTTTGATGGTCTCCATGCTGGTAGTCCTTATGCCCGAACTATACTCGTGTGTCCATCTCTTGACATTAAAGTTTCCCACCAAACACCAAGGGAGATTCGG